ATCTTATATTTTGTCCGATTGCTTCAAATAAAAATAACAAAGCTACAACAGACATTGGAACTCAAAGAAATTATTATGTACTCAAGCCTTGGGAATGTCAGATCAATGGAAGTTAAATAAACTTACTTATAGCAGGACTTCATGGAGTTTCTAAGCTAATGTGCACTGTGAACATCTATAATTTCCTGTAGGGTTTTGTTTGTTTTTTTCCTTACAGCGTCTCCAGGAATAAGAGTTTGGTAGAGAACACTTTGGGAAAGTTTGGTAGACTAGGTAACTACTCGGGCTGATGTGAGGTTTAAGAATAACAGTTGTTGAAACAAAAGCCCAGGGAACGATTGTCCAAGACCCATTGTCTAAACTCCTGCCACTCAAAATGTGCAATGTGTCTGTGGAACAGGGAGTTTGTTAAAAGTGCAAATTCTCAGGCCCCAACCCAGACCTTCTGGGAAAGAAGCTAGCTACATTAATTTTTTTAGTTTTTTGCAGAGACAGAGTCTCACTTTATCACCCTCAGTAGAGTGCTGTGGCGTCACAGCAACCTCCAACTCCTGGGCTTAGGCGATTCTCTTGCCTCAGCCTCCTGAGTAGCTGGGACTACAGGCACTCGCCAAATGCCTGGCTATTTTTTTGTTGCAGTTTGGCCAGGGCTGGGTTCAAACCCACCACCCTTGGTATATGGGGCTGGTGCCCTACTCACTGAGCCACAGGTGCCACCCAGAAGCTAGCTACATTATTAACAAGATCCTCCTGGTAAATCATATACAGGTTCAAGTTAAGGAAACCCAGATCTAAACAAAGTCAGCTTTTCACTCTGGTTGATGATTTTCTGTTAAGTTGTATAGGCTAGGATGTCCTACCTGAATGACTACAGATTGGGAGACACTGACAGGGTGGTGTCCTTCTGCCTGGGAAGGTCGTCTCTTATCTCCAGTGAGGTTTCCCAAAGGAAGACAGCGGTGGCACTTAGTATCAGGATTCCATTGCAGTAGTGCTAGCAGCACCGGAAAGCACTGTGGGGCATGGCTCTATATACTATGCCGATTTCAAATGTTATTAAGCCAGGAAGTAGTGCCTGGCAAGTGGTTTATCCTGCCTTGGCTATTCATGCGTCCCAATTTATTTTTATTGTGCTAATTAAACCTCAAGTGATATTTCAAGTACAGATTGTTTTTTCCATTATTGAATCTTTGACCAGCATATTAATGCTGTAGCATTAACGTGAGTCAGATGCTTAGTCATTTGTGGAAGACTTTACATTGACAAGAACTAGACTTGGCCAATTTTCCAGATTCCTTTGGAAATAGCTATGACAGGGTGATATAATTTCTCTGTAAACAAATGAGACTCACTTTTCCCTCGCAAAATATACACAAAATTATTATTTTTTAAATGAACTTAATTCCTAGGTCATGAACGTACAGTGGTAATTTATGTTCTGTGCTAACGCGGATATGTGCAGGCTGGGAGGTAGCGGTGAGACCCTGAGCTTTGGCTCAGTGCTAGATGCACTGGGGCAGTTTAGGAAGATATATTAGACTTTTCCAAAATTCATATATTTCATTAATTGAGTATAAAATATTTACCTTCAAGATTGGTTATAAGGATTAAATAAAATAAGAACGTCCTAGATAAGAGTATCTCATTCAGATGAATGCCCAATAAATGCTAATATTATTATTACTATAATTAAACATTTTAGAGCTATTAATTGTATAAGCTTAAGCTTGAAAAAAAAATTAGAGTTTATTGGAAAAAATAAGATTATGACATAACATTCCCTACTGACAACCTCTTTGTTTTACTCTCTCTGCTCAGAATTTCCAAACTATTAAGGACATTTATAGAAGATAGCAAATTTGTCCCATAGGTTTGTACTTGAGGTGCTAAGGGGAGTGTCTTCATCAGTGGAGTCTAGCTGTGCGTGTGTATGTGGGGGGGTGGATTCATAGCTTGAGAAGAAGCCCCTCAAAAGGCCCTGGCCCTGGGTCAGCAGATAAATCCATAAGTACAAAGAAGATGGGAGAGAGTTGACTAAGCACAAAAAGTTACAGACTGGTAACTTCTCTATAAAAAGAACATTCAGGAACAACAATACCAAAAAGTTTCAGAAACCAAAAATATGACAGAAGAATGAGAAACCTCCAAAGAAGCTTTGAAAGGTAAAGCTGAAGAGATCTCCCTCTAAATAGGACAAAGGGAGATAAAGGTAGTACGAGAGGAAAGATTAGAAATTTAGGTGGGCTATCCACAAGGTCCGACATGGGATCAATAGGAGTTCTAAGTGGCAAGAGAGCATCGAATCATGGTTGAATTGGCTTCTTTTTCCCTTAGTAGTATCTATAACCGTGTTGCATTTAATAATTAATACTGCCTTAAATTTGATGAGTTATAATTATTACAAATGAGATGGTTCTGCTGTCTGTAGGGATAATATACTTAACCCTTAATGTAACAAACTTTATACCTTTAATCTGGACAATGTAACTTCACAGAATGTGGCAGGCTATGAGGAGAGATGTGGGAGGGCTGGCGTTTTGTGACCCTGAGCCTGGTTCTCATCTTGCACAGTGGAAGGTCTGTCAATAATGCTGAAGCAGAAAAACGAAGAAGTGGCAATATAAGCATGCTATTTAGTGATGATCAATTTAATGGAGAGGAACACCGAAAGAATAAGTTAAAAGAAATGAAATGGGGTCTATGGGAATAGGAAATAGTGCCACATGGGTAAGGGGGGGGGGAAGTGTTTTTTACACAGCAGTGTGAATATTTTTCATAGGTCTTTTTAGAATTATAAACTCTTCAGATATGTGCCTATATATTTGTCTAATAAAAACAAAATGAATATATATTTTAAAAGTCATTCAGATTGTACCACTGACTTCAAGGAGATTTTTTCTTTCTTTTTTTTTTTTTTTAACTAAGTAAGCCTGTTTGTGATATCTTGCCTTGACATGCTTCTTGATAAATTAGGAACTGTAATTGTCACAGAAATTGTGACAAAGAACACATTAGAGAGGAAAAAATGACTCACTGCAGGCCACACAGTTAGTATGTGTCAGGTATATGGTCCAGGGCTTATTCCTATTTGCGGGACTCTCTCTTAATCATGGCTGTGCATTTCATTGCCCTGTATAATTCTGGGCACTAGGGGCCTTTTTGAAATCCTGTGAAAGATGTAACATATTCTTTTTTGGATGCTTGTGGTAGGGAAGAGTTCTGAAGGGGCCTTACTAGCTCCTAAAAGCTGGATCTTATTTGGTAGTCCTCTCCCAAGGGTGGGAATACCATAAGACAGAGTGTATAACTCATATTCCAGTCTGCTTTCAGTGATAAAGAGTGATGGCTTTGCCAGCAAGAATTGCATCATAAGAGAAGGGTTTGTGCACAGTCATATGAAAGTGATGGGTGAGATGCTACCAGTTGAGTGGGTTAATTGCTGTCAAAGATGAATAGCTTTTTCTGACTTGCAGGTTACTTCTGAGTTAATGATGTATCAAGTCTGAGGGACATACCATGCTTCCCCGAAAATAAGACACTGTCTTATATTTATTTTTTTCTCAAGAAGACACACTAGGGCTTATTTTCAGGGGATGTCTTATTTTTACTAAGTATAATATAACAATCTACATTTATTCAAATACAGTTAAGTCATCTTCTTCGGCGACCTGACAGAGGGAGCCGACCTTGTTGGTGGGGCTGGCACTAGTGATGCGTGAACTCCTTTCCCCTAGCCATTTGCACGTGCGCAATAGGATGCCTGTGACTGGAGTTGCCACACGTGTACCCGTGCAAGTGCGAACGGCTCAGAAAGGAGCTGTGGCAGATAAAAGGTATTCCAGTCTTCCTTACTGCTCCATGCCAAAATGCAGGGCATGGCTATGCAGCATGTTTAGGTCTTATTATCGAGGTAGGGCTTATATTTAACTAATGCATAGAAATCCTGCTAGGGCTTATTTTTTGGGTAGGTCTTATTTTCGGGGAAACACGGTAGCTGTTGGGGTGGATACAGTCCCAAGCAGATTTTCTGATGCCAAGTGAGAGAGATGGTCTGAACTAGCAGAACCTGACATGTTGGTGTTCCCTCTGAGACCCATCTACATGTCAGAGATACCGTGATTCATATGTAGTTAGGGCACGTACTCAATAGGTGTGATCATTTAATAAAAGGATAGCAGGATCAGTACATGACCACATAGCCTTTGAAAGGTGAAGGTATGAAAACAATGCTCTACTGAAATATTTAAAAATGTTTAGAAGGTTCAAATTTTCATCCAGTAACAAATACATTTGCAGGCTTTTCTAATGAAAAGAACTTTTCACTGGATGAAGAATCATTATGCTTCTTTCCCATTATATTTTAAATAGGATGACCAATTTTACTTGTAATATTTAACTATGACTTATATAACTTTGAAACATTCTAACAGTACAATAGTTCAAGCTTCATGTCTTTGAAAAATGCTTTGAAAGTACATTTTCTTTGACAGTCTGACTCTTTCAAAATCTAGGTCTTGTAGTGTGTTAGAGGCATAAATTATTTAATGCAAAGAAAAAGATTTTTGCAAAAGAAATTTAGATGCATCTCTTACCCTTTTGTGTTTCTAAGTATATAAAAGTGGAGGGGAGAAGAAGGAGAGGGAGAGAAGGGAGGACAAAAGACATACAATGGTAGCTCACAGGTACGATGCCTATTTATGTGCAAAAATGGATTAGTATCTATAGAACAGAAAAAGAAATGGAAGACACGTCAACATGCTAGTATTTTTTTTCCCAAGGAATGTGCATAATTTATTTTCAGATCTGATTACAGCACATTTTTTGCTCCACATTAAATCTCTATAAAGCTTATCAACCTGGTACTTTTTCAGATCAACGTAAATCAGTCCCAGAAAGTAAATAATGATTGATTTTAAAGCGTAAGGAGTTTTCGTAGTTATTCTTTTGATACCGGATTTAACTGTTTATGTATGTCTCTGCTTGCTTGTCTTGTTCCACAGGTTTGCCATCTGCAAATTTGGCTGCACCTAACCTCACCGTGGAGGAAGGAAAGTCTATCACGTTATCTTGCACTGTGACAGGTGACCCGGTTCCTGTTATGTACTGGGATGTTGGTAACCTGGTTTCCAAACATATGGTAAGGCTTATGCTTGTCTGTGTCTTAATAGACAATGAGAGGGTTTCAGAACTTGAGAATGTATTAAATCTAGCACCGATTGTTTGATACTTCATTAGGCCCTGTGTAGACGTTTATGAAGAGTTCTTTCTGTTTATTCTTAACTAACAAAGGCAGATTTCCATTGTAGTTATGCATGCCCAATAGACTGGAGAGTCTTTCCGTCCCTAGTGAGCTCTTTGAGTCTTTGTGAACAAATCGAGGGACTCTCCCTGTGGTCTTTTCCCTTGGAGGAAGGTAGATAGGAGTTTGAGGTTTAAGTCAACCTCACACACCAAGCAGTGGAAACTTAGAGAAATAGAAATACTTCTGATTTACTTCTTTGCCTGAGCCCAACTCAGGCAGAGAAGTTTTTCTAATGTTGTATATATTTTTTCTCTAGTTAGGAGAAGAAATGCCGAATTCTGTCACTTCGGGATCAATCCTAATCAAGATTATTGTTGTCTGTTAATTCATTTTTAGAATGAAACAATCAACACACAGGGCTCCTTAAGGATAACTAACATTTCATCTGATGACAGTGGAAAGCAAATCTCTTGTGTGGCGGAAAATCTTGTAGGAGAAGATCAGGATTCTGTGAACCTCACTGTGCATTGTACGTAATCATACCGGCATGTGTTTTTACTAAGCCAATGACCATGGACATGCCTACATTTGGTGCTGGGGCGCTCTGGGTGTTGTTTAAGTTTGTTAAAAAAATATATGCAATGTTTCATGAATACTTAATTAAGAATCAATCTTTCCTTTGTTTGATTGCTACTTAATGTCTCTTGCTCATGTGCTACCTTTCTTTTAAGCTTCTTTTTTGATCTTGAGCTGATCATTTGTGCCTTCTGCTGTCTGTTTTTCTGAAAGAACATATTTTGAGCTGGTTGTTCCCTCTTTTTAATGTTTTAGCTTACATTCTCATAAGCCAGCTTCTAAACTATTTTCCCCTATAAAAGCAATTGATGTTTTGAGGTTATGATACCTAAAGTATTTTTCTGGCTGTTCACAAACACCTAAGTGTACTGTTAACACCATAAAACCTCATTAGTTTGATAGTAAGTTTCTGTGAGGAGGTAGGAGAAGCCCTATTTAAGTTATCGTCACCTGCAGAAAACTGGAATTATTGTTTTAAATTTCTGCATACTTTTAAGCTAAGATAAAAGATATTAATGCTTCTTCTTCATTAAACATAAGAACATTTATTTTTCATTATTATAAATAATACAACTTGTATCTTAAAATTTTGGATTGTGGCATTCAGTGGTGGCATACAGCGAATGTATATTCAGTAAAAATCATATAGATGCTTCATATCATTGCAAATTCTGGGCTGGCACAGTACAAATTAATGAGGTTTTACCCTGTTTGCATTAGGATTTGGATGAGAAAAACGTGAATTGGCATGTGTGTAAGTATTTGTCCAAATTTAACACATGTAGACTGATAGCCATACACTGGCTAACACTCACGTAGCACAAATTCAAGTGTGTGATTGTTGGATGAATGATTGGCATCACCAATTGTAATCCTCTGTCACTGTAAATACCAGCACTGTGTCCAGTGGAAACTGGACTCATAATTTCTCACTATTTTGACCCACCCAGAAGCCTGAAGTCAGTGTTATCCCCACCCGTATGCAACCACTTCCAATTTTATGTCCTCCAATCATCACCTCACCCTAAACTCATTTGAGCATGGTGGAAGGAATAAGTGGGCCCTGGGCGTGGGGGCCTGGGCTGGTGGGAGGAAGGTAAGTGTGGCCTCTGCCCCACTGTGGTCCTTGCTGTGGTTGGTTCTTAATGCACATCTTCTAGTGGGTGCCTCTAAACAGACATGCACCTTATTTTGTGTAACAGATGCAGAGTCCCCCTAAATTATAAATATGTAAATGGCTCCTGGCCTAAAGAATTATTCTTATCTGTCACAGTATAGCTAAAGAATGGAAGGAATAGGGTGGGTGCAGTGGCTCACTCCTGTCATCCTAGCACTCTGGGAGGCTGAGTGGGTGGATTGCTTGAGTTCAGGAGTTTGAGACCAGCCTTAGCAAAAGCGAGACCCTGTCTCAAAAATAGTTAAAAATTAGCCGGGCATAGTGGTGGAGACCTGTAGTCCCAGCTACTTGGGAGGCTGAGGTCAGAGGATTGCTTGAATGTAAGAGTTCGAGGTTGTTGTGAGCTAGGCTGATACCATGGCACTCTAGCCTGGGCAATAGACTCTATCTCTCCCCTTCCCCCCCAAAAAAAGAGAGTGAAGGGAATAAATGATAAAAGTTACTAACAACCAGGCTAACCACTGTAGAGACCCTATTCAGACTGTGGGTTCCCAGGAGACGAGGCCATGCAGTTTTTACTCCTTTTATGTGATGAACACATATAATCAAGGAGAATAAGGGAGGGAAGGGCTGGTGCATTAAACACCATCCAGGACTTTTGCTCCAGATCCGTCTCACTCAGTAATCTTGACCCACTCACATAACCTTATCAAAGATTGGTTTCTTTATCTGAAAAAATGATGTTATTAGATTTCAAAGATCTTTTCCAGTCTCTGATTTTATAATTATCAACATTAGGCCACATTTAGACAAACAGTGATGAGGGATTTTAAATGCTTTCATTCAGGATAAGTACTCTGTTAAAAGATAGTACTTGATGTGTATTTCCCCCAAGCATAGAGTGAGTTATTTGTACTTGAAGTTGGGAGTAATTTCTAGTCTGTATTGGAGCCCAGACATTTAAAGGATCAAAATATTCACATCTAGTATTATAACAAAAATGGACCAAAAATGGACCATCACAGTAATGAACTGTGATGCTTAAAGAGTATTTGCAACTGACAACCAGTAAAAAAAATTAGTTTATCATAATAATTATTCTAATAATTAATCAGCAGAAGTGGTAGTCATTGTACTGATAAGTTTGATCTGCTTTAGAAAAGTTATGTGAGATTAAGGCTTCATGTACAATTTCTAAAGTCATTTCTGTTATTATGGAGGGAAGAAGTACTATAAAAATAGTGTCCTTCATTTTCTTTTTGATGAATCTACATAATATCAAAGATACATATATTTGAAGCCAAAGTCAACTTCAAATGAACCCTTTCCACTGTAGGAAATCCCCTGGATCTGTTAGGAGCTGGTTCTTGTTTACACTGAACAGATTTGAAAAATGACTGTGAAGCGTGGGTCTTCAGTAGAGCAGAGAAAATAGTCTTTCTGAAGCTCTCTGTAGGGAGTTAAATCTACCTTGATGATGATACATAATATTGATGGATTCCAGACTTGCTAGTCACGTATTTTCTTAAACCAAACAATGTTTGTATAGAATCCCCTGTCAATAACACAGAAATCTGGAGACGGCGAGAATTCTGAGCTTTCTGATGCTATTAACTCTCTCTTTTTCAATTTAGTTGCACCAACTATCACATTTCTCGAATCTCCAACCTCAGACCACCACTGGTGCATTCCATTCACTGTGAAAGGCAACCCCAAACCAGCGCTTCAGTGGTTCTATAATGGGGCAATATTGAATGAGTCCAAATACATCTGTACTAAAATACATGTTACCAATCACACGGAATACCACGGCTGCCTCCAGCTGGATAATCCTACTCACATGAACAATGGGGACTACACTCTAATAGCCAAGAACGAGTATGGGAAGGATGAGAAACAGATTTCTGCCCACTTCATGGGCTGGCCTGGAATTGATGATGGTGAGTACCTGAGGCTTTTGCATGGGGGAGAGGGTCTGTTGTCTTAAAGCTCTGTTAGTCTTGCTCAGGGGTCTGTAGGTCACCTGGAGCGGATTTGTTCCCTATGTATTTATTCTTGGACAAAAGGTGAAGAAGCACCAGCTGCATAGGAGACCTGCTTCTCATGCAAGCACAGAATGAAAGAGGACAACTGGAAATATGTGAGGCTTCTTAGGACAGGTCCAAGGCTGGTGACATGTCTCTTTAGCCCATATGAGTTGGCCGACAAAGCAAGTCATGAGGCCAAAGCCAAATCAAGGGGAATAGAATCATACTCCTTCTAAGGAGAGGATGAGGGAGTGAATAATTTTGAATAGTAATCTGCTATCTATAGGATTAATTACTGTAGCATGCTTGAGTATTTCATGAGAAAAGAATTATCATCATCATCATCACAAATATCTAATGAGATTTTACACCCATAATGACAGCACTCGTGCAAAAACATGAGCAAATGAACTGTGTTTGGCTGGCTTATGCAATATTTAGGTTTTAATTTCTAGCCCTTTATCCACTGGAATGGAGAATCCTGCTTTCTTATCCATAGGCAGGAAACTGGTATTCTAGACTATTTTGCTTACGTGGGTTGACTGAATTGAGCCACTGTCTTGTCCTGATCCATTTTTCTGGGAGTGATGATACTACCTATTTACAGTTTGGACTTGGGAAGGATCACTAGCATCAGAGGTCTAATCTGTGGCCACCAGGAGAGTGTCACTGTGAGCTAGCAGTGAGACAGTCATTGTGCTCTCCCTTGCTTCAGATAATGTCCTTTGGTGGAATATTCTTACTTGCTCAATCTTGTTGTCCAAATGCTTGCTGTCACTATAGAGGCTGAGGCTGGGGTTTAGATGTTAGGACCTGCTCATGAGTCCCTCACAGTAACAGCTCTGAGTTAGTCAAAGTCACACAGAGATGACTTGATAGAGAGAAGGGAGAATAGAAACCTGGGACCTGTGGGGGGCAGGGGCTGCTTGGGCAACATGTAACTGTGTGGCTCACAGGGTGCACTGCAAAGGCAACCCATGCAAAGTCATCTCTGCCACAGAGTCATTGAGAATGCAGGACCTCCGTTACATAATAAGTTCCAATATCCTGGTATTTGCTAAACATCTTTTTAAATGCTCAGGCTTCCTTAGCGTGTCCAAAATGTGATTTGAATTATGTAAGTTTGATTTACAAACAGCCATTCAGGAGCACATCAAACAAACTATGTTTGGATGCAATACCCAGACACCCCTGGCTGCTGTTGTCTTTTGCATTAAATCTTCCTCTTAATCTTCCTCCATTAATCTTCCTCTTAGTTGGGAGTTTAGAAGCCCTTGCTGCATAGGAGCCCTGCTTTTTATGCAGTTACTTGGCTCCAGTTGCTGTTGTGAGTCTCTAGATTACTGTGTTTTCTCCTGCATGTTTGAGGGAATAATAGCTTCATAGTTAGGTCCAGAGACTCTGACTTGGGACAATGGCTGTTTGTCTGTTATTAAATAAACTTTTTATTTATGAATAATTTTAGATTTGCAGAGACATTGCAAAGGTAGTACAGAGAGTTCCCAGATATCGCCCCACCCCCACTGTTTACATCTTCCCTTACTGTAGGACATTTGTCACAACTAATATACTAATAAGTGTACATTACTGATAACTGAGCTTTACACTTTGTTTGCATTTCACCCATGGCCCTTTGAAACTATCAAGGGTGAAACTTGATTTAGGGTGAAGGACTGGAGTTTAAAAACTATCAGAAATGATCTGTGTCCTTTCATATATGCATAGAACCTACTGTTAGCGTAAAGCCAGTAGCTTCTGTTTTTGGTAGGATTTTGATGTATTTTCTTTTGAACATTTCTATATAGCACTAATGTCTAGGAGAGTTGCACTCCTATTATCACGTGTCCTCGTTTTTATTGATGTCTCTGTTCATTTTAACTTAGTGATGGGAAAAAATTACTGTCTGGTGTAAGAATAACTTGGAGTCTCTCAAACGTTCCCTTTAAAAGGCATAATTTATTTTTATATAAAATAAAAATTAAACTAAATTTTATAGAGATAGATTTTTCCTCTTTTTTTCTCTTCTTGTTCATTTATTCATTTTTATTGTCCTTAAAGTACACATTTGCCTTTAGACAAGAAGGATTTCTTTTTCCCTTTGACTATTTACTCAAATACCATCCATGTAAGGAATAATAGATGAAAGTGGAAATGAAGGAGACTTGGCCCAGGGCGCAGGTGGATGTAAATTACCCTACTGGGCTGTAAACCAGTGTGACCAAGTAGATGTTGGTTTCACTTGCCTTAGAGGGAGGATCTTTGTGGGTATTTATGAGATTCACAGCCATAGCATACAGATCATGACCTTTCTTAGAATCACTTCTTTTCTCTCTTGTCTGCCTTTAAAACTAAAGGAAAATAAACAAATAGCAAAAGAAGAAGAAAAAAATGCTGGCCTACAGCTACATTTCATGTTAAGAACAAGTTGGGCCTTATGTTCCAGCAATATTTCTGCTGTCATCATGTAGTAATTGATGAAGAAGTTTGGCTCTCACAAATATTTTTGATAAAAGTTCCACTTTTACCCCCAGTTGTTTTGATGAGATCCTCCTTTTTTTTTTTTTTTTTTTTTTAACATTGCAAGTTTCCTGTCCTGGCTTACAAGGAAGCAGGCAGCCTGGCCTCTCCTGACGCTGGTTGCCTTTTCACACAAAGCCAGAAGAATCAGTGTGGCAGCTCTGGGGTCCCTTAGAGTGTGCGTGTCTTACTCAGCTTAGAACCAAGATTTTCATGGGATGGCCACTTGGCTTAGGAACTTGTTCTTGAAAACAGAGAATGAAGAATATTGAAAGAAATGGAAGCGTGAATAATAAACAGTAAAGCAGAAGTCTCTAAAACAAAACTGGTGAGGATGGAGGAGGTGGACTGATCAGACATAATGGCTCCTGATAACATTTACTGCCTCATGCGATCACTGGCACAGCTTGGCAGACCTCTGCTTTCCACTTGGAGGAAGGCTGAGCTTGATCCAGCATCACTCCAGGCCAAGGCAGTGCTTTTCATAAGGTGTGAGGATGGAGGCAGGTATTAAAGGAGAGAGGTCCAGCAAACCGAGACCCCTGTGTGATGTTTTCTGAGAGAGCTGGGGCCCTGCAGACTCCACCACTGCCCCATTGAGGGCACTAACATGGAAGGACAGGTGCTAACAGAGCTTTCGATGTCAGCAGGACCCCCGACACCAAGCCAATGCCGTCCTCATCTGTTGATCACTGGAAACCTGGCCAGTAGCTGAGAAAGAGAGAAAAGACTTTCCCAGACTCCAGACCTTAAATTGATCATTTTGGATTCCACATTTAAGAACTTAACTCAGTGGTGGTTAGCTTGGGGTTCTGTTTAAAGCAGCTTTCATCAGAATGAAATCGAGAGAACTGTAGTGTCTATCTTCCAGCACAATGCAAAGCGTGACTTATGACAATCAAATGCAGCAGTCTTATTTTATTTTTCTTTTCCATTGTCCCTTTACAATGGACTCACTCACAGTCGTCTTCCTGGGCTCCCAGACGAGTAGCTTCTAGCACTTCATTGCACATTAGAATCAACTGGAGATTTTTCCTTATTATTTTATTTGATTACATTTTTAATACACATTCTGGTACCTGCCGTTAGCAAGTCTGATTCAGTGACTCCAGGATGAGATTGATTTAGGTTTTGGCAGTTCTTGGTTTTGAGATTTCCCAGTGTTTCCAGTGAGTAACCAAGGTGAGCCTCATTGCCTTAGAGGAGAACTCAGCCATGTAAAATTTTTTTGCTCACGACTGAGTAATAATCTTTTGGTCATTTGAGACTGCAGTCAGAAGCTCAATTGAGAAATAGTATGGCTCATCTGAGCTAGAAATTGACTTGACCTCCTGACCAAGTTCAGGCTGGCAGAATGGGCTGGGGGCTGGAATTTGTCAAGGTTTCAGCCCCTCTGCTGCCCAGGTGGCAGGGAATGGGGTTGAGAAGTGTCAGGGAAGTTTGCTTGCTAATGACCTTGTGCTCTTGGGACATGGGAATTTTCAGTGCTGATGCTTGATCTGTCTTTCCTAGATACCTTTGTGAGTTCTTGGAGATTCCTTTCTCTGCTGTTTTCATAACGAGAACAAACATACCTCTACTGGGGCTGGTGGAAACAACTTCTTTCTCCAGGAAGAAGCTTTGTGTTGTTGGGGGGTCCCTCTGCCCCCACAAGGGGCCCTGTTAACAGGACCTAAGACTCCCGACACAAACTCATCTGGTCCATAGGGAACACTCATGATCCCTTGTCCTCTGGGTGTAAGGTTGAGCCACATGCCAGCTGTCTCCCCTGTTGCTGCAGGGTGCTTGCCCTTTCTGGGGCAGGAGTCAGGCTTTGTCCTCTGAGCCTTTCTCCTGTAGGGAACATGGCTCAAGCTCTCAGAGTGGCTCCATAGAATTCCTCTGATGGGGTTCCTTCTAAGTCTTTCCTTGCTCTCTCTTCCTGGGAACCTCATAAAGTCTCATAGTGAATGAGGTATTTTGAAGGACACAGGTCCAGTTCTCAGCCAGTTCTTTTGTGAATCCCACCGCTGAGTGCCTCCCATTCACTTTGGTGTCAGTTACCAAGGTAGGAAGAGTCTCATTCAACATCCTGTTATGCTAGAATCTGAGGATGTTGAAAAATGCATCAGCTCTCTCTGAATGTAGGAGAAACACGGGGTGCTGGGCTGTCCCTTATAGTGAGTTACAAAGCTCCGGACTGTATGGATCCTACTTCGTAGGAAGGGGACAGGAGTGAGGTACAGGACTGGGGAGTCAAGCCCAGCCCTTCTCCTTGTAAAGAATACCCTGACTGCTGATAAAATGATGAAAGGTGGAGAAACACTTGGCCTTTTATTCCTGCCCTTTGCTCCTGTTTCAAGTTTGCCTTCATCCTGGCTTAATGGCATCAGCCAGCTTCCAATTCCCGGAGGTAT